GCCAATGAGTTTCAGCCCTGGGCAAGTTCTCTATGGATTCAGTGTGACCAAATAAATTGACAGCAAAACGTTCTTGGGGTGAAAGGGTTATACCCAACTTTATTTCCAGGTGGCAGGTCAGTCACTAGAATCCCATCCACTCAGCAAGTCTGCATGCAGCAAGCTGGTCTCTGCCTCTGGGCCTCTCTGCCTACACAGTCATCCCGCACAGCTGCCCTCTGGGCCTCTGTTCTCGGCACTGCCACCATGCCAGCCTCTGCTCTGCTCTCCTGCAACCTTGCAGCCCTGCCACAGTGTCGTGACCAGAGCACTGGGCAGAGCTCTTTATAGAGTCAATAGCCATGTATTGCCCACAGATGTGCAGTGAGCTAGTCAACCAGGGCCAGGTGAGAATCCTGGCTACAGGAGCTCTCATTTTATCTACAATACACATACATCAGAAAGTGAAAAAAAGACTTGCTTTTGCATAAATAGTAAATAAATACATGAAAGATCCAGAATGAGAATCTAACACCTAAAGATATCTTAGCAACAGAAATTTTTTTAAATAAGAAATTTTCCCAAGAACAGGTTGGTAGTCAGGCTCCAAAATAAGACAGAAAGTCTAATTGAAGCAACCTCAGAAATAAGCTGGACACAGATGATAGAAAAGGAAACTGTCCAAGAAGCCACTGATAGTGCCCACAGAGGGTGGCACAGGTGTAGAGGGGAAGAGAATCCCTTTGCTTTAAAGTCTCTGCTCTGAAGTTATATAAGATAATGCAAAACTATCAGGAGGCAGGCAGTTTATGGAAAGGAGTTCACATCTTTGGTTGAAGAGGAAGGAGTTCCAAGTTTGCTTTTGACAACTTGGCCTTTATTGCCCTTATTATGTGGCTGCTCTGCCACTGGAGTGCATGACTGGTGTGAGAACACAACCAAAAGCCCTGGGCTCCGACAAGTTTGGTCTCCATCTGTTGAGCCCCCTGGTGAGTAAAATGGCTCAGCTGAGAGAGAATGCTACCTTCTGGAACAATTATCAATGTTAGAAAAGATGGAGAACAAGCCTCCATAAGCAGTTCCAAGAGAAATATTTCTACAGAGCCATAGAAAATAATGGCAGGGAAATTTGCCAAGCACAAAACAGACATTTCATTCGATAATTTTGGTGCTTCAATGCTTAAATAGTGATATTTTTAAAAGAATGTTTGTGAATAAAATGAGAGTTCCTGTGGTCAGGATTCTCACCTGGCCCTGGTTGACTAGCTCACTGCACACCTGTGGGCAATGTATGGCTGTTGACTCTATAAAGAGCTCCGCCCAGTGCTCTGGGCACGACATGGTGGCACGGCTGCAAGGCTGTAGAAGAGCAGAGGCTGGAGTGGTGGCAGCACTGAGGACAGAGGCCCAGAGGACAGCTTTGTGGGGACGACTGTGCAGAGCGGCCCACGGGACTGCTGTGTGGGATGGCTGTGCAGACAGAGGGGCCCAGAGGCAGAGACCAGCTTGCTGCATGCAGACTTGGCTCTGAGTGAACGGGATTTTAGTGACTGACCTGCCACCTGGAAATAAAGTTGGGTATAACCCTTTCACTGTGAGAACGTTTTGCTGTCAATTTCTTTGGCCACATTGAATCCATAGTGAACTTGCCCGGGGCTGAAACCCATTGGCAAGACAGTGTTGTTAACATCTTCCAAAGCCTTCTACAAAATTACTCAGAGATACTTTGAACTTTCTGTATTAGCCCAGGTGTGAGCAATAAAAGTGATGATCCAAGCAAGGAGAGGTTTGAAAGGAAATCCAGGGTGCATGAACAAACTCAGCCAACTTTAACAGGGGCAGGTACAATTCCAATCTTAAAATTCATGGTGGATTTCCTACACTTTATCTTCGAGAGCTTTTTTTTATATTTTACCTTAAAGTTTAATAACAAAAATATCAATTCTGTTTCTCTCTGAGAACTCAAATTTCCAAGACAAATGTAGCCTACTGAAGCCAACAAAGATGAAGAAACTCATAGAATTGCTGGTCTTCATGGTTGCTACGTGGGACTGATCGGTTTGGCTGAGAGGTCAGCCTGACTGCAGAAGATGACTTCAGATTTTCTGGGGAATGAGTCATTGGCACTAAGTGACTCAAACACTGAGTGAAACTGAAATCTCAGACCAACATTTCCCTAATTATTTTGCTGTTATATTTGATAAGTCCTCAGCATTTAGCATATCAGATGTTTCTGGCTAACAAATTAGAAGTAGAGTCCTACCTACATGATCTCAGTGGATGATTTGTTAAGTTCCCATATTTGTTGGTATTTTCTTTTGAGTTAAAATAGTGCAAAAAATAAGTGGCATTTCTGAACTTTAAAAATTGGAAGTTGGCTTGTATCATGATTTGGGAGCTATTTAATCCAAGAAAGACCCACCCTCCTGAAAGGACTTTTTATTAATTTGGAAGGAGAATGATAAACCAGGACCAAAATGAAAGAAGTGTTCAGTAACACTTATCTAGTGCTTCCTATGTAGCAGACATTGTTCTGTTTTACACAACAGATACATAATCCCTTACTCATAATTCTAAAATCCAAAAACCTTTGAAAACCAGATTTTTTATAACTCAATTGGCAGCAAAACTTAACCAAGCTCATTTGGCAGCAAAATCTGATCTGATTTTTAGCTGCAAAAGGTGTTAATGTTCGATTACTAATTGGTACCCCAGATTCTATTGGGAGTATTATGCAATATATGGTATATTATATAACATATAAGCATAAATATAAATTGGATCTGAGGGTACATGATCAAATGACTATTATCCATGAGGTTGAGAATTAAGATGTCAGATAACAGATTAAGGATCAATCCAAAAGGATTTAGTAGGTGACAGCAAAGGTAAACCCTAACAAAATGATTTTTCCACATTTAGTTACTAAACAATTATTAAGGACCTTCTATGTGCCCAGAAGGATCAAGGAGGAATCTAAGCCTCAAGAGTGCAAGGAGAATGTTTTGTTTTCTTCATTAATGTTTTTCTTTTTAACAGAAGTAGAATTCAAGCAATGTACATGAAGGGTCTTAAACTTGTGTACGAAATGCCAATTGTACACAAGAGGCCTAGCTTAGCAGCAGGTACAAAAAGGACTTAAAGATTGCAGTTAACAAGGTCTACGAGTCAACAAGTCAGGATGACTATCAGGAAAAGCTAATTGAATCTTGGGTGGCATTAGTTAAAGCAAAGTATTAAAACAAGATGAATGATACTCCTATCATAAACTTCACTGGTCAGATCAGCTTGGAATGATTTTTGAACTTCCAGCCATACTGTAAGAGGGATATATATCCACTAAAGTATGTACAGAAGAGGGGTAAAGCAGTAAAGACACTAAATACTATGTCCTGTTAAGCAACAGTTGAAAAGTCTGGGAATCTAACCTGGAGAATAAAAGGGTATAAAGGTGTACAGACACACACTTCAAATAATTCAAGAAATGTTTACGGGGGGGTCAACCACTCAAGGGAGATACTGCCTCTACGACAGCCCTGTGTCCCAGATTCCCAAGCGATGGCCATGCTTTGTAACCCACAACAACCTTCCAGGTGGGAGTGACAAGACTAGTCACAGGCATACAACTGTGGTTCAAAGGCGGCCAGTCCCTAAGCCAGCCCTCTGCACGAGCACCTGGGTAAAAAGGTAAGATGGACCTGACTGTCCATAAATGGGAATTTGCTTTGGAAAACACAGAAAGACTGAACCAGCTAGTAAAAGAGGCAGAAACTAAAAGGAAGCCAACAGAGAGAGTTGGCCCACACCAAGCTAAGATCACTGTAAACTAAAATGATGACAGAGCAAAACACTTCGTAACGGGAGAAAGTTCAGCAGCAGAGAAAAGAATCAGAGCAAACTTCAGAGGGCAGCCAAGGTGCTAAGAAGGAGAAAAACAAGACAGCAAGAGAGAGAGAAAATTAGATCCTGGAGAGCTTGTTGGGTTCCTCCTAGCTTCTCCCTCTCTTTTTGCCATTCCATATGAATCCTTATAATAAGCCCCCTTTTTCTTAAGGTAACATTTATAAGTTTCTGCCTTTGCAAAGAGAATAACTAAACACAAAAACAAACTGTCCTGAAAAAAATTAATTAAATGAGTTTTCTAGTATTGAGAGATAAACACCAATTGACAGAAGCTTTAGAGAGACTGGTTTATTTCTACTAGTCCATAAATGTGAGCAGCTGCTTCAAGAAACAGCTTTGTCTTCTGCAGAGAAGTCCGAGCACAAGCTGCCAGCCACATGGAGGGACCCAAGCCCTGGACATGGTAACTGACTGAACAACCTTGAAGCCCTCCTAGTTCTGAGACTATGTCCTCTGATTCTAGGTGGGAAAACTCTCTCTTGAGGTAATAGAGATAGATGGCTTCCATAATCTAAGAAAAGCTCGGTCTGCTAAAATAGGATTTTGCCTTTTGTTTATCAGTGAGAATATTTTTCCATCCCGTGCTTTGCCGTCTTGAGCTTCTTTTCTTTCCAATAGGAACTGACAAGCCCAACTACAATTTTAAGTTCAGTTAATAACGTCTTAAGTGTTTGGCCTTTGAGAAAAGAAACAGGTCATTTTGGCGCTAATTTTTTTTTCCATTAGTTTTTAAATTCACGTGTATTTTTCAGTAAATTTAGTTCATATGATTTTGATTTATTTACACTTAGCTCCCTAAAATGTGTGGTTAGCAATCTGATGACTATGCACCTTCTAATTAGTCTGTCTCAGAACCAGAGAGTCATATGTTGCCAACACGACCAAAGTGAAAACCAGCTGACACAAATTTGGATAGAAATTGAAGAAACCATAAAATTCAAGACCATTCTAAACTTGGCGATAGAAGTTCTCTTGTTCCCCAAAGTTACAGACAAAACAAGTTCCAAGTATAAAGTACTTCACAAATTTTTCATGCAAACATGTAGTGCACAGATAAACAGCAGTGGGACACCTGTCTCTCTCATAATCCACTACCATGATTACCTGGTGGCCAATTTGTGATTAAGGGGAGCAGGGAGGGCGGCAGTGGTGCTGCTTCTCATAAAGTTGAGTCTGCGTCCCTCTGGGACCTAGCCAAGAAAGACAACCAGTTGTTTAACAGAGTATAAAACAAACCACTCATGGTAGATACAGTGCAATGTTCCTTGTTCATAAAATTGGGTAACGTCAAATGTGGGAGGGAACTTAGAAATCATCTTGGCCAATCCTTCGCTTTACTAATGTATTTTAAATGGTTGTTTTGACATTCTGTGTACATAACCTTTAAAATTCAAATGACACTGGTCCAGGCATGAGTTTATTATAAAACTCCAGGCACATACGGAGTAGAGAGAAAATTTTCCCGGGAAACCTAAAGAGTTTAATGAGTTCTTTTTTTTTTCCCCATTTGTGCTTGAGACCCACAATGTGAAAAATAACTTTACCCCTGTATATGTGTTAGAAAGAGTGACAACACTACCAGAGTATATAAAATATATTTTTATATACAATTTATATTGATAAAAAATCTAAACCTGTTTCAATATATCTGTATATGCCAATTTTCTTCAAGCCAACATTTCATAAATCACATTCAAAACAAATACCAAAAATACATGACTTACATAATCAAACTTATGTATTAAATTTACACATGGGCATAATCTTTCCAATAAAGATATATATTCATGGCAGGATCTATGTATTCAGCAATGGTTAGGAAAAAAATTTCTTAGCCAAGTCTTTTTCTGAATGAGTTCACTGGTTAAAATTTGAGGTCACCAACCTTGGTCACCTTGGGTACCCTACAAGTTCGAGACATGGGTCTCATAAGGAATTTCTGTTTGCTGATCTTCCTCTCTCCCAGAAATCTCTGATTATCCTACATCATTTACGAGCTTTAGTCTTTGCTCATTGGGTTGCTTCTAACTTCTGAGGTAAAGATGGCCCATCAGACTTGGACAGCCATTAACCTGACCACCCATCCCTCAAAGAATGTCTTTCATTATTATATCACTCATCATCCTGAGAAATCCGGTTGATCTTCACCACATAACAAAGAGGAAGCACAATCTCAAAAGATTCAATGGGGGGCTCTCTTGTCCCCTCCTGGTGTGAGCCAGGTTGCTCTGTCCTCTCACTTTCTCTCTCAATAAAGCCTCTGCCTTGCTCTCCCCCCACAAAAAAAGATACAATGGTTCTTGAGAACTCTTCTTTCTTTTCTGTGATTTAAAAATATATTTCCTATTTTATATTCCTTCCTTAAGAAAATGCTCATTCTCCCCAAACTACTGGTCCTTCCCGTCATCTACCAAAACTGTACCACTTCAGGACCCTGCTCAAGCCTCACCTACTCCAGGATCCCTTCCCTGATCCTCCAGTCCCCTGTGCTTTGCCCCTATTTGAAACTCTGATGTGCATACTCTGTATCACCCAGTTTAGTCCCACGCTGTAGGTAAGCTTACATTTACTTGAATTATTTGATGCATAAGTTGTATCTTCCTATCTAAGTTAGAGGCTCCTATTCAGAGAGAATTATGGTTTACACTATTTTCACATTCCTACAATGATCAGTAGATTGCAGAACCCAAAGTAAGTGGCAAATACATATGAATTAATAGTTTGGTAAGTATTGCAGCTCATTTCTACTTCATGAATGATAATAAAGACCTAGTTTTGCAACTAGGTAGAGCAGAGTCATTTTGTCTAAAACTAGCATTTATAAAATATTATAAATAAACTTGACAATAAAAAGCATCCTTCTAGGAATACATTAGTTTAGCTAACAAGCATATAGGATGCAGATCCTACTTTTCAGGAGCTCACATTCTCATCAGAGAGTTGCTGTCAATAAATTAAGTTGGTAATGTGAAAAATGTTTCCAAAGAGGCAAAGTCTGCCATGTGAATGCTAGAGAGAAAGGAGCAACTCCAGGAAGTTTCTAATTACACTCTACAATCTAATTATAAATGTTCCACAAAACTTTCTGCAAATTCTGAATTAAATTTTTTTTTTCCATTTGTCCTTACTATAAAACCAGAGTGCTCTAAAACAATAAGATTTATCAATGTACTGAAGTTCATAGCAAAATAGGCAGTGGAAACAAGAAATAACTTACAAACAGAAAATCATAGTGTAAATTGTATTTGAATAATGTAAATATGGAAAAAAATATATATGATGTGAAGTCATGTTAATGAAAATATAGTTAGCTTTTTGTTCAAAATAAAAACCACACTCACCTGCAGCATCTGTCTGCTTCAATCACATTATTTACTATGGTTTTGCTTTTCGTGCCTATGCAATTCCTTGTACATATGCCTTGGGACTGGCATAGGTTCAGCTGGCTTCTATTCAGGCCTATCTTTTGGTAAAAATGAGTGTAAGATGGAAACACTGTCTTTACTTACTTTGCCATTGTAATGCTACATGACAGTTAAGATCTTCCTGAAGATCAGTATACATGAAATGCATGTCTCAAAACTTTTTGAACTTGTTGTGAATGTTCTTTTTCACATTTCCTTTTCACACTTCAGAATTTTATTATCCTTGTTACCTTTGCATAAAAATATAATAGATTTCATTTTCTTCCAGAAGCAAGTAGAATAGTAATCTGACATAACTTGCTTTGAAACAAGTTTAGCTGACAAGTAGTGGCCAGTACAGGGGAAAGACTTACAGATCTGGAAAAGAACTTTACAAAAGTAACTTCAATGAAGAGAGGCCCAAAGTAGAAGTAGAAACAAGTATGAGATCTAGAGGAGAAAAACGGACATCATCTCTTTTTGAGTTTTCTAAATTATAGTTGATAGCTGAAGCAACATTGTAACACTCCCTGATATGGTTCTCAATGTAGACAGAGGAAATATTTAACACATTTATATTACCAAGGAAAACATGAGTGGCTACTTCATATTAGATAAAGTAGCTTTCAGAACAAAGACAATTATAAGAGACAGTGAGGGACATTACATAATGATAAAAGTAAACATAATAAAAAGCTATAGCAATCCTAAATGTGTATTCACCAAGCAACAGAGCTGCCAAAAATGTGAAGCAAAAAACTGGTGGAACTAAAAGGTGAAATAAACGAATCTACAAATGTAGTTGAATACTGCAAAACCACTCTTGAACAATTGATAAACTAAGGAGGTCAACAGGATATAGAATAATTCAATAATACCACTGACCTCAGGATCTAATTGTCATTTGTTGAACACATCACCCAATACCAGTTGATTATACATTCCTTTCAAGTACCTCTGAATTATATACCAAGATAGACCATCTCCTGGCCTGTGAAACAGACCACAACAAATTGAAAAGAACTGAAGTCATTTAGTGGGTACTCTCTCAACATAATGGATTCAAAATGGAAATCAGTACAGAAAGATAACAGGAAAATCTCCAAGCACTTTGAAACTAAACAGCACACTTCCAAATAATCCATGGGTCAAAGAGGAAGTCTCAAGGGAACTAAAAAATACACTGCAGTGAATGACAATGGAAATACAACATATCAACTTTTGTGGGACACAGCTTAAGCAGTACTGAGAGGGAAATTAATAGCACTAAATTCACATATTAGAAAAAAGTAAAAAGTCTCAAATAGTATTTGAAGCTACCACCTAGAAAAAGAAGACAAAATAAAACAAATCAAGCAGAAGAAAGGAAATATTGAAGATAAGATAAAATGAATGAAATTAAAACCAGAAGAACAATTCTAAACCCCAATAAAACAAAGAGCTGTTTTATAAAAAACATCTATAAACTTGACAACTCTAGCAATACTGACAAAAAAGAAGACATAAATTACCAACATTAGGAACAAAACACAGGATTATCATTGCAGACTCTTGATGAAATAGACCAATTCCTCAAAAAACACAAACTACCAGAGCTTATCATATATGAAACAGATAGTTTAAATAATCCTATATTTATGAAGGAAACTAAATTTGTAAATTAAAAACTACCCCCATCCTGCCTGAAATATGAAACCAAAATTAGAAATACAATATTACTTACAATTGCTCACAAAATGAAATATTTAGGCATAAATCTAATAAAATATGTACAGGACTTGTATGCTAAAAGTGACGCAATACTAATCAAAGGAGATCTAAATAAACGGGGACACTAAATAAATGTTCATGGGTTAGAAACAAATCCTGGATTGGAATCGATCCAACCATTGGCTTGGAAAGCCAAAATAAAGATGTCAATTCTCCCCAAACTGATTCCTCTAAAAACGCTAGCAAGATTTTTTGTACATGTAGAAAAGATTGCTCTAAAATGTATATAGAAGGAAAAAGAAATTGGAATAGCTAAGACAACCCTGACAAGAATAAAATGAGCGTTATTACTCTGCCTGATATTAAGTTTTACCACATAGCTGCAGTAACCAGAAGTGTGGTATTGTGTTATTGGTGGAGGGATTAATATGTACACCAGTGGAACAGAAAGAAAACTCAGAAATGGGAAAACCACATATACATGCGCAACTGATTTTTGACAAGGATAAAAAAAAGAAATTCAGTGAGGAAGGGGGTACTTCTTAATCAGTGCTGGAACAATTAGACACCCATAGGCAAAAAAAAAAAGTTCACTGGCATAAATCGGACACCATATAAAAAATTAACTCAAAACGGATAATAGATACATGAAAAACTTTTAGCTAAAGAACTCTGAGAAAAAAAGCACAGGAGGAAATCTTCAGGATCTAGGGCTCAGCAGAGTTCTTAGGTTTGATACTAAAAGCAATGATCCAAAAAAGGACAAACTGGTAAACTACACTTCATCAAAATTAAAAACTTTTGCTCTAAAAGAGATTCTCTTCAGATGATTAAATTATAAAGCTACCAAATAGGAGAAAATATTTGAAAACCACATGTCCAACAAAGAACAGTATCCAGAATACATAAAGAACTCTCGGAGGGGTTGGGGAGGGAGGAGGAGGTGGGGGGAGGGGGATAAAGAGGCACAATAATTCACAATCACAATATAAGTTGATTACAGGGATGGTAGTACAGCATGGAGAATAGAGTTAATGATAGATAGTGACTGCACTAAAGGGGTGAGGATTTAATAA